TTGATCCCACCCCAGGCCCCACCCACACTTGCTCCCTCCCTCCGTCCGTCCTCCTGGTCCGGCTCCCAGGCCCGCTGCTCCCCCAGCTGGGCCTCTTACTGCTTGGCTGACTGTCCAGAAGAGCCCGCCACAGAACCACCCCACCACTCAGCCCAGATGCCTGGTGGCTGCCGGCTTTCTGCCGAGAGCCCTGAGAGGCTGGAGGCCCAGGGAGGGGTGACTGTCGTCCTCCATGGTCCAAGATCAAGAGCAGAAGGCAGTACTTGCCAATCTAGCCTGGAGGACTTCTAGAGCCCCATGTTGTCAGAGAGGGCGCTCCTTTCAGGATAGCACCCCAGACGAGACCGAGCCTGGGAGAAACAAATACTAGCCTTCCTGCTTACTGTGCTAAGCTTAGGAAGTGAGACCCATCACTGGTTTCAGAGGCTGTCACCACCCAAGTGACAACTGGAGCCAGTTCCTTCAAAAGCCCACAAGATCTTCACAATAATCTACAATAATCTCCCATGGCCCTCAGGCCCTGTCCATGTGTCACCTCCCCAGAGAGGCCTCCCTGATTGCCCAAGCCAGACCAGGACACCCCCACCCCCATTATCAGGACATTATCAACCCCAACATGATGTGCAGTCCTTGCTGGAAGGCAAGCCCCAGGACCCAGGCCTTCCATTCTAGAGCAGTCGCTGGGCGGTTGCTATCAGTGGGACTGTTGTTCTGCTCTGTTCTTGTCATCAGTGCGGCTGGCAGGGCTGGACAGCAAAGTCAGTCCACTAAACCCCCCTCCAGCTGCCTTTTTCCCTAAGGGCAACAGCCCCCACCCTCCACCCCCTGCTCAGGGGAACGGTGAGAAAACCACAGCAGAGGGAGGGGGTCTCAGAGCCTCTGCCCAGTGATTTCACTCAAAGGGGAAGTGGAAGGCATTGGAAACTTCCAGCCCAAGCAAGGTCAAATCCAGTGCCCCTAAGAAGCCAAGACCCTTCAGGGCCAAGTCACCTGAAATCTGCCCAATCCAAACTCCTCCACAGTCTACAAGGTTGTTGGGGCCCTAGGCCCCAGCTGTTCTCGCTGGCTCTGCCCAGCTACACACACCTCAGTGAGCCTGTCCCGCTGCTCCCATATAACTGTCTGTGTACCTTGCCCGTCAGGAGCAGCCCTACGTGTCCAGATGCTCCTGGCAGTCCCCTCCTGCTCTGAATTCCCTGCCAGGCACTCACCTCCTCACCCCCTCACCTATTCTACCTCCTTGCTCTCCCTCAGCTCTGCACGGGTACACTTGTGTGTACCCCACATGTCCAGCACTTGATGTAATACTCAACACTCAACAGATGGTGTTCGGAGCTCCAGTGATTTCAGGACCAAACCTACACCTCATCCAAGGGCTGCCATGCCTACTCTCCCCCTCCTGGCTACTCCAAGAGCTACAGTAGGAGACTCGAAATGGAGAGCTATTGCTGGTACTGGTGGCTCACACCTGTAATCCTATTCAGGAGGCTGAGATCTGAGGATTATTGCTCAAAGCCAGCCCAGGTAGGAATGTCTATGAGACTCTTACCTTCACTAAACTACCAAAAAAGCCACAAGTGAAGCTGTGGCTCAAGTGGTAAAGCACTAGCTTTGAACAAAAGCAACTCAGGGACAGCACCGGGGCCCTGAGTCCAAGCCTCAGGATGGGGGAGAGGGGATGTTATTGATAAAGATGTATTATGCTGGGCTGGGAATGTGGCTTAGTGGTAGAATGCTTGCCTGGCATTCATGAAGCCCTGGGTCTGTACTACATAAACAGAAAAAGCTGAAAGTGCCACTGCGGCTCAAGTGGTAGAGTGCTAGCCTTGAGCAAAAGAAGCTCAGGACCTAAGACCAAGCCTCAGGACTGGCAAAAAAAAAAAAAGACAAGCCAGGCACCGGTGGCTCATGTCCATAATCCTAGCTATTCAGGAGGTTGAGATCTGAGGATCATGATTCAAAGCCAGCCTGGGCAGGTAAGTCCATGAGACTCTTATCTCCAATTAGCCAGCAGAAAATCAGAAGTGGCGCTGTGGCTCCTCTTGAGCTGAAGAGCTGAGGGACAGCACCCAGACCCAGAATTCAGGCCCCACGACCGGACCGCCCCCCCCAATAAAAGAAATGGTGTAAGTGCCCACTGACACTTCAGAGCTTCTTGTGTATTAATTCACTCTCTCCTACAGCTAGCTGCAGAGCCCATGACAGAGGCAATGCTGTGGCTGCATTCACACAGCCCCCAGGGGAAAGCACCAGATATATCTCTATCCTGCCTGTAGCACGGCTTGGTCCATGATGGCTGTGTCATCCCCTCCTACTCCTGTGCGGCCTTCCCATTGGCTCCTGTCCCCACACAACTGTAATCCCAACGACTGAAGACAAGATCAAAAGGATCAAGGTCTGGGGTTGGCCCTGGGCAAAAATGCAAGACCATACCTGGAAAATAAGATAAAAATTACAAGGGGTGAGGTGTGGTAGAGCTCAGGTTTAAAAGTATCTGCTCAGGAAGCACAAAGCTCTCAACTTGGAGGAGACCCCAAGTTTCCCAGAAAGTACAGAAGTGCTGGACTAGCCACTGACAGGACAGAAAGCACTCAGCATCTTCAGGCTCAGGTTGAGGGAAGGAAGTGACCAGGGAAGAGGTCAAGAGGACAGGTCACACCAGGCCTGAGACCTGGTAAAGAAAGATTGTATGACACCAGGACTTAACGGGCTTGGGTTCAAACCCCAGCCTGGCTTCCGATAGTCTGATAAGACATGGGAAAAGATAATTCCTCCAGACCTCAATTTCTGACTCTGGAAAAAAAAAAAGAAAAGAAAGAGAAACAAATTGTGGATAAAGCTCCAAGCCCAGAGCCAGACACAGTGTTAGCTCCCAAACAAAACCACTGTCTTAGCTCAGTGCCTAGGTTGCCTTATTTGTAAAATGGGTATCACACTCTGACGTCACTCACAGGGCTCTGTAAATGAAATTCTATGTATGTTTTGAGGCTTACGTCATGTGTGAAGAAGCCTGCATGTGCCTAGCATGGGCCAAATGCCCAATAAACAGTTGCTAGCCACTCACTCTGGAAATGTGTGTGTGCCTCAGTTTCCTCACCTAGGATATTGGGCAGTTCACCTGTGAGGTGAGTGTTAAGTGTCAAGCCCCCAGGAAGTACTCAGGTAAGGTCAGCTGTCGGTTTAAATGGTTATGGTTTTTATTGATGTGGTGGACTCCATCAGGTGAATAGGAGCTAACAGCTGGAGAACACACTGCCTCTAAGGACCCAGGGATCTGTCTCTCCAGGAATGGCGTTAGGCTTTGGGGACAGTGCGCCCTCTTGACCTCATCCCCATCCCCATCAGCTGGGTCAATCAGGGACTACAGCCAGTCCTCCGGGAAAACCAGACTCAGAGCGAAGGTTACAGGGTAAGCCAAGGTCACAAACTGGCCAAGGGAGCAGGGGCACTGGTCATGTGCTTCTAGCAGCAGCCCAGAAACCACAAAAGAAACCACTTTGGGGGGATCTGACTGCCCTGAGCCCTTCAGAGCAGCCTTCCTTCTTGGGCTGGGGGTGGGGGAAGCCCCCTCCCGGCTCCTGTGGCCCATGCAGAGAGGAACAGCTGGGAAAACAGTGATCAGCCTCACGTAGGACAGGCCAACTGTTATCGCTCAACAGTTGAGCATAAACATGAAGGGCTGCTGGGCTGGTAACTGAAGACACAAACAGCCCGGATGCTGGGGATGGAGGAGCCTGTGGTGATCTCAGTGGGTGCCTGGTCCCCTTCACACCCACTGCCCACCTAGATCGGAAACAGATTCATCTCCAACTGCTACTCTGGAAAGAGTGGACAACGCTGAAAAGCAGCCTAATCACAACCCGGATTAATTACTCCAGCCTAGCTAGGCCTCTTGCTGAATCCCAAGAGGTCTCAAAATGAGAGGAATGGGACCTCGGAATCTCAACTACCTTGCCCTGAGGGAGAACTGTCCCTCCAAACACTCTTCCTGTCAAGTCTAAACAAGCAACTGGTGGGGGCTGGGGGAAGGAGAGAGGAACACAACTCCTCAAATCCAAGCCCAATGCCCTTCTCGCCTTCCTAACAGGGAGCCTAAAGCTCAGACAACTTTCAGCGACTTCTAAGACCTATCTTTCCGCCTCCCGGAAGGAAGAGATGTCAAAGGCTGGCATCCATTGCCAAAAGGATATCCCACACCTCCAAGTCAATAATCTGAGAGGGTTCTAGAAGGAGCCCAGGGCAGTCCAGGCCTAGGGTTCAAAGCAGCCTAGTAACCACCCAAATTAAGGGTGAGCTCCGTGTAAACGCCCACCGACACACATTAAACTACAGGAAACAGAAGTGCCCCACACCACTCGGCAGCACGGAGCCCCCAAGTACATCCCTAACGCCCACCGGTGCCGGTCCTGATCTCCCCACCCGTCAGTGCCCCGTCCTTCAGAGATTAAAAACATCCCTGCGCCCACCCCCCTCGCAAAGCGGCGCTGGGTCCTAAGGATGCCCCCCCAGCCTTGTTGGTATAATCCAGACGGCCCCCTTCATGGCCACCCGTGGTATAGGCCACGCTCCAGACAGCCCCCCATCCCTCTAAAAAACACTGTAGGAACGACGTGGTGGGCCCCTTCAGAGGTTCCGTCCTCGCATACTAGGCGTGAGATCTCCCCCCCCCCCGCGCACACACACACACACCTAGCCCGCCCACGTTATTAGGGTCGGTGTCCCTAGACCCTCACACACTAGGTGCTCCCCCCGCCCCGCGGCCGTCCGGTGGTACGGCCCGCCGCCCCCGTCCCCGTCCTCTTTGGGCTAGTCCCACCGCCCCCGCGCAGCCACCCCCATTCAGTTCCGGAAAAGGGGGGGGGAGAGGGAAAGAGGCTCGGGACTGTGGTCCCCTCCCGGCGGGCACGGGTGGTACGGCCCAGCGCGGCACCGCGGGGGGCCCGGACGCGACCATCGCGGGGGAGGGGGAGACGCTGAGGGACCCGCGCTGGCGCACTCACCTGTCACCGGCGGCCGCCCAGCCTCTCCGGCGGGGCTCTACCCCCGCCCATCGCCACGCAGCGCTGGCTCCAGCTCCGGGTGTTTCCTGGTGACTGCAGCGGGCCGGCAGTGAAAGCGGCGACGCCTCCTCCGAGCCAGACCCAACGGCTCGCGCGGCGCGGCCCCCCCGCCCCCTCCCCCCAGCCCCCGCTCACCGCCCCCTCCCAAGGAAATACCGCCTCCCGCCGTCAACAGGAACTGACGTACAAAGAGCGAGGACTGGGCTCGGAGAGCACCAGTGCGCAGGCGCAAGGAGAGGAGAGCGGGCGGGCTCCCAGTAAGGCGCCTGCGTGGATAAGGCAATGTTAGTTTGCGTGGGGAACCTCGCTCAGGCGCAGGACTGAAAGTAGAGTATTGCGCAGGCGTGATAAAATTCCGGCGCAGGCGCAGTAGAACCCCATTGCACAGACTTTCCCTGGAGGCCCCGGGCTGTGATTATTTCCCAGCAGCCCTTGGTTCTTATTTACTCACGCTTTGATCTTGTTTTACTCTGCTCTCATTGGTGCTTTGGCTTCTGCCTTTCTTAAAGAGCCTGAGCGGGAGTTGGGAAGGGCGTGTATGTGTGTGTGTAGTTGGGAAGGGCGTGTATGTGTGTGTGTAGTTGGGAAGGGCGTGCATGTGTGTGTGTGTAGTTGGGAAGGGCGTGCATGTGTGTGTGTGTAGCTGGGAAGGGCGTGTATGTGTGTGTGTAGCTGGGAAGGGCGTGTATGTGTGTGTGTGTGTCCTGGGGAGTTGGGAAGGGCGTGTATGTGTGTGTGTAGTTGGGAAGGGCGTGTATGTGTATGTGTGTGTGTGTGTGTCCTGGGGAGTTGGGAAGGGCGTGTATGTGTGTGTGCGTAGTTGGGAAAGGCGTGTGTGTGTGTGTGTGTGTGTGTGTCCTGGGGAGTCGGGAAGGGCTTGTTTCTTTCTGTGTGTGTGTGTGTAGTTGGGAAGGGCATGTGTGTGTGTGTGTGTGTGTCCTGGGGAGTTGGGAAGGGCATGTGTGTGTGTGTGTGTGTGTGTCTCCTGGGCTTCTGTGTGTGTGTGTCCTGGGGAGTTGGGAAGGGCTTGTTTCTTTCTGTGTGTGTGTGCGCGCGCGCGCGCGTTTGAACTCAGGGCTTGGGTCCTCCCTTGTGCTTTTTTGCTCAAGGCTAGCGCTCTACCACTTGAACCACTTCCAGCTCTATTTCCAGCTTTATGCTGGTTAACTGGAGATAGGAGTCTCACACCAACTTTCCTGTACAGGCTGGCATTGAACCTCAATTTTTGGTTTTCAGCCAACTTAGTAGCTAGGATGACAGGGGTTAGCCACCAGTGCCGGGCTGACAGGGGTTTCTTTTTCAGTGTGGCGGCCTGTCTTAAGCTTAGGCTCTGAAGCCGCACTATTCTCAGATTTGAGTTTCATCCTTATGGATGACCATGAACCCATTTTCTGAACCTCAGTATACCTATCTGTAAATTAGAAACCGTGAACGATGTCTTGGAAACAGAATGACGTTTTATCAGAACGAGTCCAAAATGCAAATGTGACAGGTCACTGGAGGGCAGAGGCAGCTGAGAAAAAGCCACTTCCTTACACACCACCTGTCCCAATTATACACCACCTGTCCCAATCATCCTGTCCTTCAGGGGCACTAGGCGGAAACTGTTCAAACTCGCAAAACAAGTTATGTGCTAAAATTTCCTGCTGACCCCGGCCACATAAACCCTCCTACAACCAGACTCTGGGTGACCTTTCTAATCCCGACTAGGGAGTTTGCCCAGGAGCGTACTCCAATAAACTTTCCTTTTCTTCACATTTACCTCCTCCTGCGTGTTCTTTCCTTGCCTAAAACCTTACAGAATGCCAAGAGAATCTGCAGCAACTTGGGCCCACAGATGCTTTAGTAATGATTTCCTTCACAGCCAGGTACCTGTGTCTCAGGCCTGTCATCCCAGCGACTCAGGAGGCTGAGATCTGAGGATCACAGTTCAAAGCCAGCCCAGGCAGGAAAGAAAGTCCTTGAGACTCCATAATTAATCACCAGAACACCGGAAGTGGCACTGTAGCTAAAAACACTAGCCTTGAGAATTAGCCTTGAGCAAGAGCTTAGGGACAGCACTCAGGCCTTGAGTTCAAGCCCCATAACCAACCTCCCCATCCCCCCCCCCAAAAAATTAATTGCCGTCCCTCACAAAAAGCTTTAGAAGCCTGAAGGGCATGGAACATACTTGTAATCCCAGCACTAGGGAGGGGAGACAGGAGGATTGTGAGCTCAATGCCAGCCTGAGCCATGTAGCAAGACCCTGTCTCAAAAAAAATCAAAAGAAAGGAAAAAAAGCTTTACAGAGATTCTGGCTGACTCATGTGTTAACTAGGGTTCTAGACAGCTGTGGAGCATCTGGCTTCAAGTCCCTTTCTTTTTCTCTCACAGGTTGGGAGGTGACTGCTACCTTCTAAACTTAGGATTACAGTATGCTAGGAAGCTTGGCAAATACATACTGGGGAGAAAAATGGCTGGTTAAGAGTTGAATCCTGGGGCTGGGAAGGTGGCTCAGTGGTAGAGTGCTTGCCTTGCATGCATGAGGCCCTGGGTTTGATTCCTCAGCACCACATAAGCAAACAGAAGAGTTGAATCCTGCTGGGTGCCGGTGGCTCACACCTGTAACCCTAGCTACTCAGGAGGCTGAGATCTGATGGTCATGGTTCAAAGCCAGCCAGGCAGAGAACATCCCATGATGTTCTCTTTTCTCCAGAGGACCACCAGAAAACCAGAAGTGTAGCTGTGTCTCAGTGGTAGAGCACTCATCTTGAGCAGAAGCCCAAGACTAACAAGTTCTCAGGTTCTTGGCAAGTCCTGCTCAAGGATGGGCCTTAGTTTTCCCCAAAATAAACTATTCAATGCTGAAAACAGTCCTTAATACACTGCCCTATATTGATAAGGCACAACTCTGTACTCCTAATTTATAGTCTTTCCACATCAAACAGTATTGATAACTCTGCCCAGTGTCTACTTTCACATCCCTAACCATTTTAGAGTATTGTTGGTGACAAATCTGTTTCCCTGGGCACAAAGGGTCCTTTGAGGAAGGAGACCAGTACTTAGTCATCACTGAGTATCCAGCACTGCCCCACAAAGATCCTACACAGAATGGGGAATATTTAAGCATTTCCCCCTTTGAAGCTGGGCAAAAAAGTTAGCAAAACCTCATCTCCATCAACAAACCAGGCATGGTGGTTCACACTTAATAGCTAGCTATTGGGAAGGCCCCAGAACCCTCTTGGATTACTTTACTTGAAGTTCTCTCCCTCCAAGGAAGAAGAAATACATTTTAGGCTCCCTGGCAAGAAGGGGAAGAGTATGGAGGTTGGATTTGAAAAGCTGTACCCCCAGAGTTGCTTGTTCAGATTTGGGAGGAAGGAGTTTGGAGGGAAAGCTCTCTCTTTCAGAACAAGATAGCCGACACTTTCTCTCATTTGGAGATCTTTTGGGGTTCAGAAAGAGATCTAGCCTGGAATAGTTAGACTTGTGGTTGAACTGCTTTGCAACATCGCCCACTCTTTACAGAGAAGCAGTTAAAGAGATTTGTCCCTGCCCGAAGCAACTTTTAACAAGGTTGTGAACATAGACCCTGCACTGTGTAGGATACATAATGAAGGTAGGACATTATTTTATTTGTTCAATCTTTCGTTAGTAGACAAGTTCAGGCCTGTAATGAAGATCAGATCAAGACGGAGCTTTAACTTTATCGAAGTCACATTCTTAAAACATAGTGTCCATATCATCAAGAAAAAAAAATGAAATATTTATACCACAATTTCACAGCTACCTAATGGGGCAAGGTCTTAACTCTATTCATGATCTTGCCACAAGATGGAGCCACATGAGCTGGCCATGCAGCTGGCACTCAGCTGTCTCTTCCATTTCTGAGCAATTTGGAGGATATTTGTGCTGTTACATTAACACTCATGGTACAAAAGCAAGCTTTTATGTCACCTTAATGGCACAAATGAATCAGATGTAGTGATACGAGCCCATAATCCCAGCATTCAAGAGTCTGAGATTGAAAGACAATGAGTTCAAGATCTGCTTGGTGCTACACAGTGAAACTCCAGGATCAAAACAAAAACAGAAAACCGCATGATTTTCAACTGGATTTTCAGTGAAGCCTCAGGGGGAGTAACAATCAGGAACAATTATTAGGACAACTGAAACAAATTGCAACATGAGTTGTAGATTGTTTCCATTTTAAATTTCTTGCTTTTCTTCAACTCCAAATGGTTGTACTGAGATTTACAATGTAACATGTCCATTCATGTCTCCAATGCTTCCTTGTTGTTTTATTTTTTTTTTCTGCAGTGCTTGGAGATCAAATCCAAGGCCTCATGCATTCTAAGGGCAACCCAATTTGCACCCCCTTTTCTTTTTGTGTCAGTCCTAGAGCTTGAACTCATGGCCTGAGCACTGTCCTTGAGCGTGTGTGTGTGTGTGTGTGTGTGTGTGTCACTGGAGATAAAAGTCTCAAGGACTTTCCTTCTTGGGCTGGCTTTGAACTGAGATCCTTAGATCTCAGACTCCTGAGTAGCTACGATGATAGGTTTGCCCAGGGTTAGCCTCAGAGTGTAGTTTTCTCACTTTCCACCTCCCCAATAGCTGGAACTATAGGCATAGGTCACCATGCCAGCCTCGATTCTTGATTTTGATAGTTATACTGTACTTATGAAAGAGATGCTCTTGTCTTTAGGGCTGCACACTGAAGTACTCTAAGGCAAAGGGGGCACGAAGTTCTCCAAGTGAACTCTGAGATGTGCCAAAAAAAACCAATGTACACATAAGCAGGATGGACAGGTATGTCTCCTGGAGGGGGGAAGCAGGGGCTAAGCACATGGTGGAATAAGTTATAAACAAGTAGCAAGCTGAGTAAAGAGCATACTGAATCTCTGGTGCTGCTTCTCTCACTTTTCTAAGTTTACCTTCACTTTAAAATTAAGTTTTAAAAAAAGTGTTTTTGTACTCCAATTTTTTTTCCTGCCAGGTCTGGGTCTGAACTCTAGGACTGAACACTGTCTCTAAGGTTTTCTTGCTCAAGGCTAGTGCTCTGCCACTTGAGCCATACCTCCATTTTCAGCCTTTTGGTGGTTCTTTGGATTGAAGAATCTCATGGACTTTCCTGTGC